AATTGTAAGTGCATTCTTGTTAATTTCCCATATTGGGCAGGTTAGAGAGGAACTAACCAACCAACCAAATTATAATCTAACAAATTTAACAAGGAGGTGGAGAAAATAAACTATTTTTTTAATAGATTTGCACTTTAAATCTATGAGTGTGGCTGCTGGTGGACAGTACTTCCAAAGGTACTTCCAAAGTACTTCTAGGCTGGATAACTACCCAGCCTAGACATAGATGTTCCTGTCAGACCTCATACCTTTACTCACTCGAAGCCCACATTTGCTGTCTGTTGGCATGATCAGTAAGGGTTTCCTGCTTTTCCTATTTGGGTCATTATGTCCAAGGTCATCCCTCTGGAAGGGTCTAAAGTAGGCTCTTCTCGGAATAGAAACTTGGTTAGTTTTCTCACTCATACCTAGAGTTTGTTGGCTAAATTAAGTGGTGGCTACATGGCCTTGGTGGGAAGCTCTGCTTCTTTGATCAGGACAGGGCCCCTGCCTCTGAGATGCTGTTGCCTAGCGGGATCAGTCCTAGCAAAGGGCTCTGTGTTAGGAGCTGAAGAGAACACACACCTGTCCAGCTGCTTCTTCTAGGCTGAGGTTGTCTATATGATCAGGAGCACCATTCCAGAATCTCTAGAATCTGATTGCTTCTAGAACCAACTCCATTCTAAAGAACATTTTAACATCTGTTAATGCTTTGGTAATAACCTTTTATACACATGACTTTTGTAGCATGACTTTATGACTAAACTTATTATGTGTCAAATTGTTTAGTAATATTGCGTTTCTGAATGTTATTTTGTGAAACTTGTTTTAAAATAGTAATAAATCATGTTATTTTATAAAAAAGTCTTTTGATTATAATCATAGTTATTTTAGTTAATGTTGACTATGTGAACTACGATATTTAATATTTTTAAAATTTCAGCTTTTGAGTACCATAATCCATACTGCTTGTGTGGTAGAGACAGGGCCAGGGAGGTGAAAGAAATGGGGGGGGAGCAGGCGGATGGGGGTGGCATGTAACTCATTTCTTTATGCTGAATTTTTCAAATCTTTACCATTATCTTCCACTGGGAAGAATACCTCCAGCATGTTGTTACTGCACTTTGACCATTCCAAGTCAAGGTTAACTGATAAACCCTTGAAAACCAGGAGTAACCCAGCAGCATCAGCAACATCGCACATTTTGCGATGAATATTCTATGCTGTCAGTCAAAATGTAATTTTGGTTACAAAATAAGACTGAAGTACAGTTTCTACTTCTTCCTAAAAAGCAGAATTTTAAAAATTTCTAAGCCTATAAAGAGAAAGCCTCAAATCAAATCTAAGTTATTTTTTAGCTCATTGTTTTCTAGAGCAAAAGATAGATATCTGTATCAGCATCTCAGAAGACTGAAGCAGGAGATAAGGATAGTCTAGGCTACAGAGGACCCATCTGTGGAGCATCTATGGTCTTGGCATTATTTTATGCACTGTATTAAATATCTACGTATACATATGTGGATTGCATAGTTGATACATATATTAAATAGTAAAAATAACATTTCTTGGGGCTGGAGTGATGGCTCAGTGGTTAAGAGCACTGGCTGTTCTTACACAGAACCCAGGTTTGATTCCCAGTACCTACATGGTAGCTAACAACCATCTGTAACTTCAGTTCTAGGGGATCTGTTCCCCCTCTTCTGACCTTTGTGGGCACTGCATGACAAGGGGACACCTACCTATGTGCAGGCAATACATTCATACACATAAAATAATATTTCTTCTATAATACAGTCAATTCTACAGCTATAGAGAGTAATCCCAGCCCTAGAGAGGCTGAGGCAGGAGATTGCAAGTTCAAAGCCAACCTAGGCTACACAGCAAATTGCACAGCTTCAGCTACATAATGTGAGACTCTTCTCAGAAAACAAACATTGGCTGGGGATGTAGTGCAAGTGTAGAGTGTTTGACTAGCATATATGAGGTCTTAGATTCAACCCCTGATACCAGAAAAAAGGAAAAAAAATCTAGCACTCATCAAATTGAGGTTGCATTGGCAAGACTTTGTGAGATGGCTCATCAGGTAAAAATGCTTACAGCCAAGCTGGACCACTCAAGTTTGATCCTCCAAGCCTACATGGTAGACAGAGAATCAGCTCTTGGAACTTGTCCTCTAACTTCCACATGCATGTGCCGCACACAAAAGGTGTACTGTATCCCTATGTGCAGACATGCTGACATGAAAAACGAAGGACCCACATTTGATTTTAAGAATTTAAGTATAAGTATATGGATTGGGAATGTGGATGTATAAAAGTATAAGAAATGGAGCCGGGCGTGGTGGCACACACCTTTAATCCCAGCACTCAGGAGGCAAAGGCAGGTGGATCCCTGTGAGTTCAAGGCCAGCCTGGTCTACATAGTGAGTTCCAGGACAGCTGGGGCTACAGGGAGACCCTGTCTCAAAAAGACCAAAAAAAAAAAAAAAAAGTATTAAGAAATGAATCTATGCTAGGGGAACCCCGTGGTGGAAAGAGAAAACCTACTCCTGCAAGCTGTTTTCTACATCCACATGTGTACCATGATACACACCTCTCTCACAAATATCTTAAAGAAAAATCAGGAAAACATATGTTAATGTTAGCTTTCATAAATTAACAGTCACAATTAACAACACCAGAGTCCTGTCTTGCCTCTTCCCTGCCCCAGAGTTAGTCCACTAGTGCCTCCATGCAGCAGATCCCCAGGGATAGTCCTACGGCCTCTATTGTTAAACCAGTTCCAATTTTAAACTTAAAGTCCTAGAACATTTAACATTCATGTTGCCACTTCTGGATCTCAAACAGTTTTTAAGCCTTTCCTTTTTTCATCTTCTTGAAATAAAATGGCTGCTGTAAAACAAATACTTTACACATTATTTCTCCACTGAAACAGGTTTTAGTTGCAAAGTGATTTTAAGAGAAAAACAATTGCTAGATAACCTAAGCTTCATTTCAAAAATTTCTGAATTATAGCAACATATTACTTATATCTCTTTAATCATTAACACATGCCTTGAAGAAGTCATGTCAAAATAGAACATGTTAAAAGGTATTGCAGGGGGCTGGAGAGATGGCTCAGCAGTTAAGAGCACTTGCTGTTCTTGCAGAGGACCCTGGTTCAGTTCCTAGCACCCACATGGTGCTAACAACTACCTGTAACTCTGGTTCGAGGGGATCCGACATCCTATTCTCACCTCTGCATGCACGTGGTGCACAAAAATCACACACGCAAATACACAAATAAATAAATCTTTAAAAAGTATTGTAAAAGCTGGATATAGGGTGGGCATGGTGGTTGGTGCACACCTCTAATCCCAGCACTCCGGAGAAGCAGGCAGATGTCTGTGAGATGGAGGCCAGCCTGGTCTACATAAGTTCCAGGCCAGCTGGGACATACTGTCTCAATAATCAAAGAAAGCTAGATGTGGTGGCACAGGCCTATAATCCTAGCACCCAGGAGGAAGAGGTGGGAGGATCACAAATTCAAGACCAACCCAGTCTACATAGTAAGACTCCTATCTGGGTATGGTGGCTCCTGCCTATAATTTCAGCATTCTGAAGGCTGAGGCAGGAACTCTGCCACAAGTTTGAGGCCAGCCTGGCCTACACAGTGAGTTCCAGGCCAGGCTCAGCTACAGAGTTAGACTGTCTCAAAAAAACAACAAACAAAAAAAAAGTATATGATATTGCGATTTAAGCTCATAGTTCATCAAGGTGAAGTTTTTTTTAATGACATGAGCAGAAATCCTAATAATACACATCAGAAACATAGAATTTTTAATTCTTTATTTGATTACATCTATTTGACAACTTCAAATTTAGAACACTTAGAATCAACATGACCAAGAATTAAAGACAAATATTTGAAGTGGGGGACTGTATTCCTTAACTTGTTCACACCAACTCCACCTGTGATTTATGTCTGTATGTTATACAGTGAAAAAACTGATGCAGCTCCATAAAAGCAGTATTTTTCTAACACTTGATTTTTTTACTATTAGACTACTTTTCAATTAAACAGATTTAGATGTTGAAAGATGAGAAATAAGAAATCCACATTGTCGAGATGAGTAATAGCCTCTAATAGATTCACATTTCTTCCCAGCAATATAAATTAGCAATTTACAGTAAAACTATCCACAATATTAGTAACAAATAGAACAGTTCACATTTTTCCTGAACTTTCTGTGAGCCAGGCCCTGCAATTTCATAATACTCTGGATGGGAAGTGTCACAGCTTCACATTTTTTACAACTGTTAATGCCACTAAGCTTGCACCACGAATCCATGTTAGCCAGCATGACCCACTTCTATTTCAGCAGCTCACAGCAATCACACAGTTCTGTGAACATTACATAAATATGTAGGCCTGACTCCCCTGTTCCATCCCCTGGAAAACAAAACAGAACAAGAATAGGAGGAGGCTAGGTCCTCAGTATCAGAGGCAGGCTTGTATAACTGCACAGGAGTAAAAATAGCTAGGTCTGCACTAAAGCCCCCTCCCCAACCAAGGGACTTAGAAGTGCCCCTCCAGGCCTAGTTGCAGGAGGGCAGCCTCAGCTTCCTCCTCCTCCTCTTTGGCTTCCTCCTCACGGATCTGCACCAGCAACTGGAAGAGGTTAGGTGCCGGACCATCCGCAGCTCCTGTCAGCCACAGCTGCCTTCGGATGGCCCCACTATGGTTGGCACCCGCAATGACCTGCTCCAGACGAGCCTGGTTGACATTATCTTTATCGATGGCCCCTTTCTCCACCACCTTCTGCAGTAGAGGCTCCAGACGAATGACATAAGCAGATAACTTTTCTCCAGGGTTCTGGTAAGTGTTCAGAAATCTGACTTGTGCATCCCTAGAGCTCTCCACGCTCCCAAACACCTGCTCAAGGGCCTTCAGGCAATCTGTGGTGGTGATGGCAGGGTTGTTGGTCTTGAGGATTCGAATGACGTCAGCGGCGGGGCCTCTCAGACTCTCCATCAACCGACGTCTCTTTTCTACATCAGACACCTGCCATTCCTCTATGACCTCATTCGTGTGCTCCAGCCATGAATCAAAGGTCTCCTCGTCAGGCCCTGGACTGTCCCTCCCTGAGAAAAGCGTCAGCTTCTTATACCATATGGACTCAACAAGAGGCTGAATAACATTATCCAAGATGTAGTTGAGCATCTCTGCTGGCATTTCTGGGCCTGGGACCGGAGCAGGGTTCTGAAACCCAAGTACACGGGCAACATCTTGCTCGGTCCATCCCTCTCTAGCCAGGAAGTGGTGCAACCTTTCTAAAAATTCAGCATCCGAAGTGGGAGGCTTAAACACCACCTTCCAGAGCCCGCCTTTGCCTGGCAGCTCCCTGGGGATGGCGGAGTAATCAACGGCACCTGTGAGCTCTAACAAGGCTGCTTTCGCATTTTCTTCCCTCCAGAACATTCTCCCAAGCACTCGATAGGGCACCTGGGGCATCGCGGCACGGAGGGTCTCCTCGATTTCAGCCTCATCACAGTTCACCGGGATCCCCCAGACGAGCAGAGCTCTCTGAGAGTTCACATCCATCCCCCTGCACCAGTCTTCCAACAGTATCACAGCCATTTCCCTAAACTATTAAGGGTGCTAAGTCTACAAATACAGACCAGATTGGCTTACCATAGGACAATATAACATCCCCACCACCGAGCAGGCCAGGGGACGACAGGCCTCAAGCAATCACAATTACCAAACGACACCCAAGCCTTGCCCCTTCCCCGCCCCAAAGTCAAAGCCAGGAGCCTCGGGTCACTTGGATACGCGAACCAGCGCCGCCACCTTCCGACCGGGTTGGGAGCCGCAGCCGGCGGCCAGGGGGCAGAGGCGAGGTCTGGGGAATGCCGGTAGCGGGCGCGGTCCTGGGCGTGGGGCTCCTTCTGTAGCCCGACGGCCGAGCGCTCGCTGTGGCTCCTGGAGCCGACCGGCAGTTGGTAGTCGGGGCCTGGCGTTGGTGGCCCGGGATGCCTCAGCCTTGGAAATGCAGAGAGGCGATACCCAGGTCCTGGCGAGCGGCTTCTTCCAGCAGGCAGGGACTGCTCAGGGCGGACAGCACCGGCACCTAGGCGGCAGGCAGGCGCGGAAGGCGGGAGAAGCGAGGTCCGCGGCGGCGGAGGCCAGGGCGCGCAGGGCCACCAACAGCTCTGTCCAGCGCCACCCCGCGCGCTCCCCGAAACCGGACACCTACCCGCTGCCGCAGTGGAAGGCGGGGCCTGCGGGCTCGCCCCCGCCCGTGTCACCGTGGCAACCGTATCCATGACGACCCGAGATGCCAGAGCTCCAGAGGGTCTGGCGGTTGCCATGGTGCCAGAAAAGGGATTGGACACTCTATTCTCTGATGGCGTATTTCTTTTTTCATATTTTCCAGATTCATTTTAAACAATAAATATTGCTAAGCATTTTTTTAAAAAAGATCTAATTTTGCTGTGAAATTAAATGGATATTACTGAAATGCATACATCACGATGGACTTGTCTCCTCTAGTTGCGAATCCATTCCACGCGTTCACTTTATGCTGCGTAAGAAAACAGCACTCCGACATCCGTGTACCACCTGGTCACACTCTGAAGCTGCTATATTCGTCCCAATGAAACTAGAACAGAGTATGCCATCTGTAGGTCTGTGTGAGATGTTGACTAGGCTTTCTTGTTTCAATTTTAAAACAAAACATAAAAACAAAACCAGGAGCTGAAGAGATGGCTGAAGTTAGGAACGAGTACTGCTCTTGCAGAGGACCTGTTTTATGTTCCCAGAACCCATGTCAGGTGCCTATAGCTCAGCTCCAGGGGATCCAACCTGGCCTCTACGGGCACCTGAACTCGTGCATAGACCCTGAACTTGTACACACACACACACACACACACACACACACACACACACACAAATTTTTGTTGTTTGCAAATCTTAAAGGGGAAAAAACAGCAACCCGGTGTCCATTCATCTTTGTAGCCAGGCAAACTGATCTTGGCCTTACTGACAATGATGAATTGTCAATAATTGACAAAAGTTAATCCTTGTGGCTAAGAAACATGGAGTAATCTCCCTTTGGGCAAAACAAGTTCTATTTACATCAATCTCAGATGGTTAAAAAAAAAATCCCCTTATAAGAACAAGGCATTCAGCCAGGTGTGGTGGCACATGCCTTTAATCCCAGTACTTGGGAGGCAAAGACAGAAGCAAATGGATCTCTGTGAGTTCTAGGCTGGCCTGGTTCTACATAGTGTGCTCCAGGCTAGCCAGGAGTACATAGTGAGACCCTATCTCAACAAACAAAACAAACCCAGGAATATGGCATTCTGGGCTGGAGAGATGGCTCAGAGGTTAAGAACACTTGCTGTTCTTCCAAAGGACCCAGGTTCAGTTCCTAGCACCTTCATCTTCATGGTGGCTCACAACCGTCTGTAACTCTAGTTTCAGGGGATCCAAAAACTTCTTCTGGTCTCTGCAGGCATTGCATGCATGTGTTGCCCTTATGGCCACACAGGCAAAACACTCATATACATAAAATTAAGCAAAACATGGGCTGGAGAGATGGCTCAGCAGTTAAGAGCACTGGCTGTTCTTGCAGAAGACCGGGTTTCGAATCCCAGCACCCTCATGGCGGCTAACAACCGTCTGTAACTCCAGTTCCAGGGGATCCAATGCTCTCTTCTGTCTTCCTTGGGCATTGCATGGCATGGGTGCACTTACATACATGCAGGCAATATACACATACACATAGAATGGAAATAATAAAATATTTTAAAAAGTAAGTAAAACATTTAAAAAATATGGCATTCAACTCTGAATTTTTTTAAACCTTATTTAATAAAAGGCCTTAAGATACAGAAGAACATTCAAAAGTAAATAAGTTACATAGGTACATTACAATCACATCAGCAAGATTCTCTTTAGTGTATTAATTTTTTATAAAAAGCACACAAAAATATATATATATATATAATATACACTATTTTAATATGTAACAGTCTTTTTTTAAAAAAGGGTGCCACAGGCAGCAAACACGTGAAAAGGCAGTGTCTGATCATTTTTGTTTCAAAATAAAAGGAATATACTTATTTTATATGCTCTTAAAATATTTATACAATAATTACACACTATCAAGGCTGTTCCTGTGCTGTCCCTCCAACATGGCCCTCAACTTAGAGACTAATGAGGGAAAGGCAAAACAGCTGCAATTTTTGGAGGCAACTATTAATACAGCCAAATGTGGGTTGAACACAACAATTGTTTTATAAAAATATGCATACTTTCTGTAAACCTAAGGAGTTAGGGTTGCCAGTCTGGTAATAAATAACAAACCAGAAAAGTGAGTCCCAATAAAAACATTTAGACAGCTGAGGCTTAAACATGTGTTGTGTTCTTCCATCTTAACATCTGGCAATGAGAAGAGATTAGGTCACCGAGGCAGTTAAATATAGGCGATCCCTTTAGACATCAGCAGCACAAGACCTCTGTGCCAGGGCTGGAGGTGGGAGGCATGGGGACAGGCATGTATCTTAGCTGTGAAGGGGCTGCTGAAGGCATGGAGGACAGAAATGATGGCACTGTCTCCTTAGATGGGTAAGAGACCACAGAAATGGTGGAGAACACAGGTACTACATCAGTTTCACCTTTGCTGAATGTAGGTGGAGGCTGGGAGGCAGATAGGATGAGATGGTGCAGGGGGGACATTGCAAAGCTGAAGGTGTTTATCATTTATTTTTAAAGTAAAAAACTCTGACTAGGCAGGAAAAACAACAGAAACCAAGCCCAATTTGTTCACATGGAGAAAGCACCAATAAGGGTATACCTGTGCCAGCTTCTGCAGCTGCACCTACTTTTTCGGCGGGATACTTTTCATGATGGCATTTGCCCTCTAAACATTTCAGTGTTCACACTGCATTCTCAATTCAAATGCATCCTGGAGCATGGACTCTCCTAAAATACAGCATCTGGTGGGATTAATACTGAGTGGTACCAGCTTGATCTTTTCTGGTTACATTCACCTGGTCTGGTCTCTGTGCTCTTAGAAGAATAGAATCACTTTATTAAAAATGATTTCCAAGCACTAGTTTGTACCACTGAACAGGAGAGGCTCATGTGACCAAAGGAGGTTTCTGATAGCGCATGTCCAACCATAAAGGGGTCTGAAGCCAAATATGGTTTAAATAGAAAAACCTTGGGAAACATAAGTAGCACTTTGGGGCTAAGCATGAAGGCACTCATTATACACGTGATTTAGAAGAGAGCCTAAATTTGCTGCCCTCCTGCTTCTAGAGAGTATATCAGATTTTTGCAATCTCAGGACTCTAAGTTTGTAGACACTTATAAAAGAAACTAAGAGGGAGACTGAAGGTCTAGGTAGCTATCCAGGTGTCTAGAGGGACATCCTGTTACCCCCACAGCCAGGTCCTGTAGAACCATATTAATGCATAAATAAATTTGAAAAATACCCAATTGTGCATAGTTTGAAAACAAAACTCCATCTCCAATTTTTTTGGGGGGGGGCGGGGGGGAGGACAGGACTCTTTCCCAATACATCGACCAGTCATACACATTCACTTAGAATTTCTTTTTCACAACTAAAGTTGAGTAATAGTGGGAAAAATAACTTGGACCCCCTATGGAATTGGCAAGTGAAGGGGCCTCTAGAACATTCTGGCCCTTTCACTTCAGTGATTTCATGCCAAATATGGTTTCTTCAAGCCAGAATCCAGGCCTGATAAACATAAAACTACAATTCTGGCCTCCAGCCAACTCACTTAAGCATTTTCAAAGTATAGAAGGGACAGTTATATGAAGGCCTTTGATCTCACCAAATCTGCAGGCTTCCTGTGGCTTTTATAGCATACTCCCCCTTCCCACCCCTTTCAGTGCTATCATTCCTACTCGCAAGAACTTCCAGAGCAACATGGTAAGGAACCCTAGGGCCTTGGGAATGGGGTTGGGGATGCCAAAAAGGTGCCTTATTTGGGGATAAATGCACTTGGACCTCTGAAAAGCAGGAGGCCCCTGGTCCCTGAGAGGATGTTAAAAATTAAATATTAAGAATAAATAAATAGCTCCCGAATGACGTAAGTCAAGGAATGAAGGCTCCTGTCCAATCTAGTTATGAGACAGCCCCCCACCCCCCAACCACTACTGGGGAAGGATCCAGAAATCTCCAGCATGCAGGACTGGGGGCTAGACTGTGACTATCAATGCCAGCAGAGGTGCAGGTGGGGTTAGGTGGCAGCTGCTGCAAGCAGGACAGAGGCAAGGGAGCTGGCACCGGAAGGGCAGTCCAGGCCTCGCTTGGCCCTACTTATGGGTTATCTCCGTTAGTAGCCTCTGGGACCCAAAGGTACTTGGCAAAATGGTAGGAAGCAGGAAGAGTCAGGCTTGTCAAAAGCTTCCTCAGGCCTAGCTTTGCATCTTCTGGCCTCTGTAGTTTCCCTTCCCTGCGGCAGGCTGAGAGAAGACATGAACACTGACCCCTTTCCCAAACCTTTGAGAAAACTTCAGCCTAGGTAGGGCTAACAAGCGGCAAAGGGGTTGTAACTGGCCTACACGTTACTCCTAGGGAGAAGGTGGCCTAAAGAGAAGACACTGGAGATGCTCCCACCTGAATGCTGTTAAGCTGGGACAGCACAGATGTAGGGCCACCACGGTCTCGCAAAGGAACCCCTTTATCTGGGGCTTGGGGAAAGGCTCCTGCAGCCTTCCAGTTCCTCTGGAGGAATAATGCTGTGATGGGGTGAGCTTGTGCTTGGCTTGCCACGGTGGCTTCCTAGAGACAGGTGCAGGAGGCAGCGATGCAGAGCTGGCAGCAGCAAGGGATCAGAGGCAGCTGCGGACGCGTGCCCCCAGGGGAGCAAACAACTCCCAAGCCAGTTGCAGAGAACTGGATCCTGCAGCCCTTAACACAGTTCCCAGGCCTCTGTAAATAAAAGAGCCATTTATTTCATTGTTTTGCAGAGCAAAGTCCACGTGACCCTCTCCTGGCTCCTTCCAGAGGTAGGGCAGACCAGCTAGAGGGTCCAGCTGGTCCTCAGCCCTTCTCGCTCTCGCCGCTCTCTTCCCTCAGCGCCTGCTGGTGCATGGCGGCGGCTGCTGCTGCTGCCTCCTTCTCCTTCAGCCTCAGCGCCGCGGCCTTCTTCTCCTGCTCCGCGTGACTCTTCATGTGGGCACTGCGGCTCTTCACTTTGTAAAACACCCTACAGAGCAGGAGGGGGCTCAGGTGAGCGGCACCCCTTTACTCCCTAGGTACTACCCACCTCTCCCTTCCTCCTTCCCCTCCCCTCTCCCCCTCACCCCCAATTCCTGCCCTACTTCCCCTAAAGCTACCCTTACCCCTCCCACTAGGGATGGGCCACCCCACAGCCCCTCCTTCAAACTCTGCCTGCTCCATTAAGTCATTACCTTGGAAACGCGCTGAGCCAATCAGAAAT